ATATATATATATATAGAATAGGCAGATTTTGTTAAACAAGACCGATGTCTGTAGGTTTACTTTCTTCTTAGAATTCTTCTCAAGAAGTCGATAAGCCGTCTTAACGTTGTTAGAACAACGGGTAAAAGTTGTAGATAGTGATGAGTTGGCCGACGCGCCATCTAGTTCCCACGAGCTAGATACCCCCCCCTGCTTACCTACACCTATAAATATCCACCAACAGTAATTACAATTCACACAACATTCAGCCTTGATAATGGATGCAGAACGCATTCGAAATGCGTCGGGCAACTCATCACTATCTACAACTTTTACCCGTTGTTCTAACAACGTTAAGACGGCTTATCGACTTCTTGAGAAGAATTCTAAGAAGAAAGTAAACCTACAGACATCGGTCTTGTTTAACAAAATCTGCCTACTTGTTAAGCATTGAACAAAAATCTACATACATTCTAAAATACTTCAATTAAGCATGCCTAGAACATCAAATATGTAATATTACTGAACTTAATATGCTCACATTTCATACTCAGATCTGCACATTAGTAATGATGAATTCAAATTAACTTTAAACATTTGTTATAATTCAAAACAAATGTATTTAATTATAACTTTAATACAATTTTCTTGTTTTACTAGGACACTAATTTCCTGCGTAATTCCACTCTTCAGTCATGTATGCTCTACAACAGGAAATAAATTAAAAAATCTAAACACTCTAAGAACAAATAATATCAAATATAAGTTAATAATGGCAGAAGTGTTTGTAACTTCAACTGTACCATTTTTTAAATGTGTGCATATAACCATACCATTTTTCAAATCATGTACACCACAAGGTATTTATTCAGTAAACTGTTTACATATTATAAACAATTGGCTGAAATAAGAAAAGGAGAAATTAACATTTATTTTATATCTAAAAATTAAAAAAGTCACTGTAAGTTAAATACTTTTATCAAAGATGGAAAGAAAGTATTAGTCTGATGAGGCAGATGAAAGAAGTGAACCAGAATGCTGTTAGCAGCTTGGATGACTGCAAGACAGTGATGCAGTACTCAGACTGGTTTGCTCATCAACAAGGGGTGGTTTAACAGAACACATCTTCCAGTTCAGCCACAAAAAATAACTTAAATCAGTTGTATGATGGACAGTTTTGGATAATTAATCCTAATTTTGCAAATTAATGCACTCAAACACCTCAGTAATGTAAACACTGTAAATAACACTGAATGCATCTTCACATATTATATTAGAATCAAACAAGGATTGTGCAAAAATAAATATAAAATGAAACTATATAATGAAATAAATGTATTACTGTAGATTTATAAATGTTATAGTTGATAGTATTCTTGAAAGTATGAAATAATTTACAAAGGCATTACTATTTAAATAAACTTGCATTACAAACTATGTTGATTTTTTTTTGGCAATGAATATAAATTTGTTGACTTTTTACAATAGGCTTGTTCATCAGATATATTTTTTATATACAGTGCATCAGATTGCAGGATTTTACACCAAGATTTTTATTTTATTATTTCTGGGGGTAGGCATGCTCCCAAACCCCATAGCAATGAGTTAATTGTACAATCTTACTATTTAAAGCTTCTTTACTTTTATAAGACATACACGATTGAAGAGTGAGATTACCCATGAAACCATTATTCTAGTGAAACAAGAAAATCAGAATAAAGTTATGACCCAAAATACATTTGAGTAAAATACATTTTTTTTTCTATATTTAAACAACATACGTGTGTGTCATCTACTTCATGTTTTTTATTGGTTTTTTTAATATACAAGTCAAATTTCATGAAAATACATATGGTAAATTCAGATTTATAGTAAACTTTACTATGTCAATGGACCAATGCCTTACACATGGAGTTGACTGTAAAAACAAGTTTTTAATTAAGTTTTTCTTCAAAATATCTGTCTGCATATCTCTAAATCCTTTCCTAAGTCAATTTGAGTGCAAGGTGATTTTCATGTTAAGAATAAAAATACATTTTTTTCTTACAATTTTCATATTTCATTTGTATGACCTCTAGAAGATTTTTTTAACTGATAAAACTTTATATTTCATCTGTTATTTTATCTTCCCTAACACTAATTATAGTAAAATGAAAATATGAAATAAAAGAATTAAACTTTTTTCTTTTTCCTCCGAGTGCAACATTTTGCTAAATTGTTGGTCTTTTTATTGTTACAGTTTCAACTGTTATTATTTCCATTTCTGTTTTCTTTCAACTTTATGCTTTTATGTACTTTGGACCATCATCTTCAATTAAAAGCAATAAATCACAGTGAAAGCCTGTTAGCCATCTGGTGTAAACACCACAATCACAGTGTGTGACCCACACGATCTTTGCAAGTGCAAGTCATAATTGTGTTTAGCCTGACTTTTTTCACAAAGTTAGTTGTTCAAATAAAAAATTAATATATGTTTTAAATAAGTATCTTAAAACACAAAATTATAAACTAAACAGAATAGAATGTCCCAAAAAGACCATAGTTTGACTGACTTTCTAACAAAGTTATAAATATGTTAAAAAATTCCATTAGGTGCTTGAAGTTGAACAACAATGATCAAAGATAAAGAAAGTGAGGCCAACTTTCTACACCAAAATGAAACAACAGTAAAAAAGGTATTTTTAGAGGAAAAAATTATATTTCAGTTGGTTATAAACTTGTCCATTAAATAATGGTATAGATAACTTCTTTGAAAGCTATGATACTGATAAGATGGAAGGTATGTCATTACCTATAGTTTGTGTCTCTAATTGATTGGACACTGAAACCCATATGAGGGAGAATTCAGAGCACAACACAGAGAGGTGAAGATTGATAATTCATTTAAATATTTTAGCTTGAAATTAAAACTTAAATAATATAAAAAGTTTAATTATAAACTGTGCTTTGATGCCAAGTTTATTGACATACATTGATAATGAAGTTTAATTAAATTTTGAACGTAACTTTGTAAAAGGTCATGACATGCACACTTTGAGTGTTATGTGCATAAGTTCAAATGTTTTTTCAACCAAAGTGTAAAAATGCTGAAATTACTGTATATTTTTAAATTACTATTTATCCCTTGATTACATTAATGCATCAATGTCATTACTACTTATGCAGAATATGAGAACACTTAATTACATAGTGAGTAGATTTAGGGTCTGATTGAAACAACTTGTCATATTTCACAATAAGAAATACTTAGAAATGAATGTGGGCTCCCTTGCATTGATACAGCCTTTACATTTTTGGGTCATACTTCTGATTTGTAGATGGACAATGTTCCTACTCTTCAATCAGTACAATGTCAAGCATTAAAGTACATGGCATACAAAGAGGTCCCACAGATGTCCTATGAAATTCAGATTACAAATCCTTGCTGGCAACTACATGACATCTATGCTTTCTTACTTATGATAATACAACACATTTCTGGCAAAAAACAGACTGAGCATTCTCTTGCAGAGAACAAAGATTGGTCCAATTACACATACAAAAGGTCTTGCAACTGAAATCAAAACCACTCCATCATACCCTCAAGCAGTAAATCTAATCCTTGAAGACACAGTATGTCTATTGATCCATACTTTTGCTTCCCACACTATAACTGTACTGAAACAGCCATATTCAATGATGTTGTATTAAGCAGGCATACATATTACTCACTTCTATCTTCCTAGGTACAATGAAGTTGATCATCAGTTGGATACTCTCATTGTAAATGGTGTTACTAGTTGTAATTTCAATAATATCTCACGAGGTTTGGCCAGCTAAGAAGATTTAGGTTTGTTCTAAATTCATATATTATTTTGTAGTTGTTGTTATGCTTTACATATTTAGCTTACTTTTGATACTACGTTTTTAATAACTCTTAGAAGCATGAAATCTTGTTTGATCTGTAAAGAGTATAGGCACCCAATAGTGTTCTGACAATTTTGGTGATCTGTGTAGTGCTGTGAGTGGGGATCTTATTTTAAGCGAGACTCTTCAAATCTGCTCCTTACCGCTTGGTTGCTTAAAGTCTCTGAATGGTTGACAAGAATTCATAATGGCCATACTGCACAGAGTAGTCATCACATAGTATAATTGTTCATTTATGACCTTGTTTAGGCTAGTGTACAGACCAGTTATCTGATAGTGTTCATAACTTTCCCACTATAGAGTTGGATGCACCAAAATGTTTATCTGCTTTCCAACATCTGAACAACTTTGTAAGTTCATATTCTCATAAAAGTCTCCACCTATCACTACAAGGTAAACTGTGATACAATTATACCAACAGAATATGCAAAAGTTAAGCAACACCAATTTGTCAAAAATGGGCAGATTTTAAAAATGTGCTAAACCATTTGCACAACCTCAAAAAGGGAAAGTCAAATGTCCACAAAACAATATTGCATTCAGACATAATTTTTCAAATGTTAAATATCTTTTCTTATTGAAGTGTATCTGCATACATACTTTTTACACACACGATGTTTTTTAATCTTCTAGGTGTGAAGAACAATATACATTGAGATATGACTATAGTTTCATATGTAAAAATCTACAAAACAGGAATATCATACCACTTGTCATGATCAGTATACCCGTACAAAGATTGAGTATGTTATATTAAAACAATTTTAGAGCCTCACTATGTCATTACAGTCCATGTTACCACATCCATTTATGCTATATCTGATGACTGTATCCTGACAAGAGCCTTGTAGCATAGTTTCCTTGCAAAAGCCTCCATCCTAGGCTATCATGTCCAAAGCACACCACTCTTCCCTACAGGCTTTCCATAATTCATCTACTGAGGATCATAGCTCCCCAGCACCCACTTAAACTGTTTATACCAAAACCCATAGGCACAGCATCCAGCTATATTACCAGTATGACTCTGAATGAATACCCATTTCATTCTCCTACTACTTGAGATAAGCAACTGCTTAAATGAAGATGACTTGGAGTCAACTTGTGTACTGGTGAATTGTGTCCCTTTTCCAGGTACAGATTCTTCTTGATTTGTTTTATACTTTTGTCTAGAACATGTGGACAGCCTTTTCCACTGACTTTCGTGTTTGTGGCTTCTTACCCATTACAAGACTCCACATTTTGCTTACCATGGCTAAGTTATGACTTGTTCAGGTATCTTTTTTGATGGTCCTGGTTATCCAAGTTGATCTATATTCCTAGATTTTCCAATGTCATTAAGTACTACAGATATTCCTCTTCTTGGAAATTCTAAGTCACATCTTTATGATCTGAGTGTATGAAAAATTGTAAAAAATTTGTATTTAAAAAAATTAGGAAGTAGGGATAGGAGCACCAAAACGTAAGGAAATAAGACAGGAATAGGCAGGATAACATTAAAACACTTGTTTTTGTAGCTATCATTCCAACCATTCCTACCGTATGTGCTTTTTGTAGCTTCGTAATTGTTTTAATTAAGTAAAAGGTGTATATAGCTAAATTTCTCTGTTGTAAACAGCAACCAAGTATATATACATGTATGTAATCAAATTACATGAACCTAACAAAATCCATGACATCATAAGGAAGGTATTTGATGTTGGAAGTGAGACAGGAAGCTCCAATAGTCATACTTTGCTTATGGGAGACATTATAGCTATTTGACTGGTAAGGGATGAAGCCAAAAGAATAGTATCAAAACTGCTGATTTTTGAAATTTTAAAATTTGTTGAGTATTTTAAAAAGAATTATCTACTTATAAAACACAATTCAAGCCTATAATTGGATCAAAGTTCAAAGTAAAACATGAAGTAGGAATGGGGGGAATTATGGCTACACCCACTTTGAGGTTGCACCATGTCAAAAATCGCCAATTGTTGTAATGTTACCCTACTTACTAATTTATTTAGTTACAAATTTTTTACACATGTCTCATAGCTGTTTTGGTACTAAGTCTCAAAAGTGACTGGGCTCTAGGCCTATCCTTCCTGTAGCTTTTATTGGTGCTAAGTCTCAAGATTGACTTGGCTCTTGGCCTATCCTTCTTGTAGCTTTTCTTAGAGCTATATCTTGACATTTTCTGACTTTTGCTGATATTTTTGCTATAGTTTTTTTTCCATCTAGCTAGGGTGGCAGCTTTTTCTTTGGCTGGATTAATGGCTAAGGCTTGTTTTGCATATTCAACATTACTGTTCCTATCCTTATCTCTATTCTTGCGGTAATGCTTTCTACGAATTGCATTGTCCAACATAGAACCCTTGAATGAGATGTACAAAACTGAAAACTTCCACTTTCAAAGGTTAGATCTTAGTTAGAACCTAGATCTAAAGAATCTATGCAGGCCACGTTTTTTTTATCTTGCTGATACAGCTGCAGGCTAACCACATAGTGCGCACGCATAAACAATTGTGCACTCGAGATATGAGGGTAGGTTGTTACTTGGCAACTCAGAGAATGTACTCATAATCACACACTAATATGGCTGCTAATGTATTGTTAGCTCATTAGTAGTGTTGCAAAATGGTTAGTTATTACCAAGGTTATAAGAGAAACACTTATAGCCAAGGTAGCGTAATTCAATCAAGTGCATTTATATTTGCACAAGGTGAAGGCAGGTGAGAACTATGCCCTTCCAACAATGTTAGTCAGTCAGATTGTTAAATTGTGGTTTTGTGACATTTTTGTTTTTACTCTACCAACTTTCTCAAGTGCTTTGGTGGCTTGTTACTCTGTAGTTGGTTTGTTTACATGGTGTTTATAGTGTGTTTAAGATTTTAATTTGCATTGCACATCTGGCCCATTCCTACTATAAGTACTCATGTACTTATGATATTCTGCTTCAGAAAGGACTATTACATACCCTTCCCAAAAGTGATCACACTACATACAAAACAAAAAACAATGTAAAAATGCAGATGTGATACATTCCGTTCTACCACAACTTTATATCAGCTATGGTTTTCATGTGACCTGCTGATTTGTATAGTGAAAATTGTTTTGATATAATGTACTCAAACTCTTGTATAACAAGATTGACCAATATTTTTTTATCAAACTTGTTTTGTAAAATATTAAGATTAATTAAGTTCGTCATAAGATGACCACATACAGGAGGCCCTGATCAAGTTACAGAAGTTGTAAAGCATACTCATTGTCAATCCAAATCATAAGTACTACAATTTCTTAACTACAGAGCTCCCAGAAGTGTCATCCTCCTACTGCTAACCTTTAAAATAATAGCTAAATTTGAAAATTACAGGCTGAAATTCAAGGTTTTTTAGCACAATCTCTTTTGCAGTGGTTCTTTTGATAATCAAACAAGTTCTATAGAGCCAAATATGAATATATATATTTCAAACACATTTTCCCCCCACCTTCTATTTAATAATTGAGGATAATCTTTCTTACCTTGTAATTTAGTATATTTGTGGATCACTTGCCAAAATGAGCATCTGTTTCAGGGAACATGTATGATAGCTACAACTAAGAACTGAATTTTAAATTTCAAATGAAGAACAATTTTTTTTTTCTGTAAAAACAGGCTATTACAGGTTCTTTGAGAAATTATACAGGTTTTAAATGTTTCTGAAAAAAAAGAACATTTGCAGGGAGGCCTGTAACTATTCATCATTATATTTTACTTGATTGTCATATGGAGATTTATATTATGAAACCATTCTAGAAAATAGCTTTTTTTGTCACTGCAAATACCAAACAGCAAAAATTCCTTCTGGACAAATATTATCACAAAATAAATTTAAAATTTTCTATAGAATGCAGTTACACTTGTAGTGTTTTGATATTCTTACCATCACAGTTAAGAAACAATGTAGCATCAAGACTATATTCTGCCATTTCCTTATCTTCATCATGAGCAAGTGTGTAGAACCCATGTTTCCACTGGTGTACTTGCATACGACATTTAGGATCACAAGTTCTTTTAGAATGACCACTGGAACCCTGTCCTGGACTGCTATCATGTTTAACTTTGGTATCAACAACTTCTGAAGTAGTACAAGGGGTATAACTAGCTTCCTTCTCTTCTACATCACTAAAAGCTTTAGTATTTCCATCAATGCTCTCTGTGTCACTGTCTCCATAAGCTAATAGTTCATGAAGTGTTAGACCAGTCATGTTGGCTAGAGTAAGAAACATTGCTTCTGATTGGAATACTTTTAGACACTGCTGGACTACAGATGGTAAGGATAATATGTTCACATCTTCATAGTTTCTACAAAAAAATTTTTGGCAAACATTAAAAAAAGATTGAAAATGCAAATGTGTTAAAAAGTAATTACAAATTTTTCATTCTATGAAATCATTATAAATTAACCCTTTCGCAATGCTTTTAAATGCTTTTCTGCACAAGTCACTGTGTTACATTCAAAACTTAAACACCTTTACTATCAATGTATGTAAATGAAATTAATATCATAATGTGTACCATGATTTGAAGTTTTATTTTATCCAAGTTTTATGTCCTTTCTTTCAAAATAAACCTTTATAAAATTACTTAAACTTCAGATATATTGTCACATGACCAATGAGCTATTAAAATTCTCTACTTTAGCATTCTGTATCTTCATTAATACAATAGTAGTTGAGTAGAGGTACATCTAGACAATAAGTTGCTTACATAATCTTTTGACTCGCTCATTTCGGAGTACTCTAAGTGAATACAGTTGAAATAAGTAATAAATTTTTTCAACCCCTGATAGGTGCCATGACCACCTTCAACAAATTTCTTTGATCTTTATAGCTTACATGTAGATGTGTACATAACATTTGTATAGTCATTAGTTTGTTTGTTTGTTTTGAATTTTGCACAAAGCTACACGAGGGCTATCTGTGCTAGCCGTCCCTAATTTAGCAGTGTAAGACTAGAAGGAAGGCAGCTAGTCATCATCACCCACTGCCAACTCTTGGGCTACTCTTTTACCAACGAATAGTGAGATTGACAATCAAATTATAACACCCCCCCACGGCTGAAAGGGCGAGCATGTTTGGTGGGACAGGGATCCGAACCCATAGTCATTAGAAAGAGGTCATTTTACATTGTCAACTAATAAAAGTTATTTTCAAATTGGTATGCAGTTGTTGTCATAGATTATTTGAAATTGACTATAGAACGGTTGGCTGTTTGATGGATTATAGCATTTACGGTTGTTTCTTACCTAAATATGTTATAGTTAGAGATACAGTTTAAATTGTATTTAGGTTTCACTGTTATATTTTAGTTAATTATATATTAGTTATGTTTTAAAATGCATAATTAAAAGGTTTAAACATTTTTTAAATGTACATCATACTTTGTTTGTGATATTACGTGCTGAACGAAAAATTTGCTGAACTGCTATATGTCTCCCAAAGAAACTGTAACATGCCTCGAAGGCACTGTTGATTTGTGTTGAGATGAATAATAAGTGGTAAAGGACAAGAAAGGAAAATAAAACATCAAAAGTTAACTGTATGTGAAAAGGAAAAGGGCTGAAATTATAAATTTAACAAAAGGAAAATCTTTAAAGATATTCTACAAAAAAATTAAAAGGTATGTATTTTGTTTTCTAATTTTAATTATTTCGTTGCACTGTACAATGATGATAATAGCTAGTTAGTAATCTGGTAGAGAAAATGAAAAATAAAATGCAAACATTTACCTTGATAAAACTTTGATATACTTTTAAGAGGTTCTACAAATTATGCAAATCAAATATGAAAACAATAAGATAATGTGCACTCCATGTCCTTCTTGTGGCTCCTTTCTGGCCAGCTCACCCGTGGTTTCTGTCCCTTCTCCAGGAACTAAACCCATTACTTCTCCCTTTCTCTCAGTCCCTCCTCTGGCAACCTCACTCAGGGGTGCTTCATCCCTCTATTCCTACACTCCAGCTTCATATGTGACTTTTATCCAATCCCTTGCAAGGGGTTTGGGACTCTCCACAAGTGTTGATTTCCTGTTGTCTCACTCTGTCTGTTTCTCACTCACATCTGTGTATCAATCTGAGTGGAGAATATTCTGTTGTTAGTCTATCCATCATGGATTATCCCCTTCCTCAAATATTTGAATTTTTACCTAGTTGTTTGACATGAATATCTCCATTTCAACCATTGCAGGCTATATTTCGTTTTTCCCATGTTTACTTCTCCAGTTATTTCCCTTTTATTTTGGTCTATGTGTCTCCATCAACCTCCTCATACCACTCAATTGCTAGACTGAAATCTAAATGTTTTTTCCATGCTCTTTTCCTTCCTCCCTTCAAACCACAAGCCTCATGTTCCTTAAAGATGTATTACCTTCTTCTTTTGGCTTGTGAATGTTGCTGGTTGGAGCTGTTTGCCAACAACATTCCACACATTTTTTACCACAAAACACATGTCCTTTTATATCTCGACTGTGCATTCCTTCCTATGCCTGCAAAGGAGATTTTGCCTTCATCCCTTTCTTCCCGCTCTGATCCCAATTGTCTCCTATGTCTGGTCTGAGCTTTAAGGTGTTACGTGTCACACATAGCACCTTTCCATGGCTTTCACTCACTTTCTCCTGAATTTTGCCAATTGTTCTGTGCCTCATCCCATCAGATCTGTCACCTACTTAAGTCCTTGGCTGCTCATTTCTGTTATTCTTTGGACAGTTTGACAGTTTCCTTCTCAGCCACATATCCCCCCCCCCATCCCACGGACTGGAATTGAACTTCCATGTTGCATTTCCAACTTCCTGACATTGTCCAGATGTATATTCTCAGGATTTCTTGCTGCAGGTTGTGTTGGATTTGCACACATGATGGTTTAGGTACTCAGAACAGAGGATCTTCTTCCCTTCCGATTCCTAGGCCTGATGTGAATGATTGAGGATTCTCTTCTTACCATGGACTGGTGTTGACCTCCTGTTTGCAGTCCAATGCACTCTAGCCATTCTACACGCACTCTTCTTCCTTAAGGATTTGGGGTTGTTACCTTGTTACACCCTTTGATTGTGACACCACACCTGTTGGCTCCACATGGGCGAAGAGTATACCTGGTTTAGATGTGGTGCAGTTTCTCATGTGTGTGTTTCCTCTCCATAGAGAGGGCTCACCCCATGAGTGCTCTTCAGATGCTTGTGAAGGGTGCTCATTTAGGTAAATGTGAGTAGAGGTAAGTAATGGCGTCGGAAGTTAATATCTTCCTGCACTGAAATATATTTCCGATAGCTACTTATCTCCTTATTCAACTACCTAGAAGGAGACAGCTGCAAATGGGTTTGCCGCACTTCTATTTGTGGAAACTTTCACATGCTAATTTGCATGCTTAAATGCAGCTGAACCACATGGTAGACACGTGGAATTAGGTGGGAGTTTCAAGGCTAGTGGCTAGCAAAAATTTTAACACTAGAGGTCGGTGAAATCCAGAATAGTTGTAACTGTGAGAAGAGGAATCTATCACAAATATATTTTCAGTGTAGGAAAATATCAACTTCTCAAAGCACCAACTGTAACATTGTATTGCTAAATGACATTTTTAACTGGCTCTTTTTATATTCAATCTGAAACACAAAGAATCTCTTATCAACTGGCATCTTTTGCTATGTCAAGTTCAGGCTATTATTGAGGCATAATATGGTCAGATGGTCCAACTCAATATTAATTGATTCTTATTAGAACACCAGTATGAATATAAGAACCCTTTATTCCCCTTTTTTTCATATGTTAAGATATTTTTCTTGGTTATTATTGATATTTCAAGGATATTTTTTACAGTACCAGAAAACCATGAGAATGTTAAGCATACTCACATACAAATATCTTTAAATAAACATACAATACAACTCTCAGTATGCTTTGATGTAAATATACATTTAAACTCAGTCATATTTTAACAATGAAACACAAACAATTTATTCTCGTTATTTATATTTTAGTATTAAGTTTATATTTACCTTTTATTTGCTGGTCCTTTCTGATTCCATTTTAAATTGGAGTCTCTCAAAGCTTGAGCAACTAGCTCGTATTTATCTTCCTGTGAGTAATTCAGAAATTTTAAACATCAGCCAACTGGGGTAACAATTAAATCTCAACAATATTTTTCTTTCGTTGAAAAGTTCAAGCCAATTTACTGTAAAACAATTTATACTGCAAAAATGGTGTCTCATAGCACCAAAAACATTAAACCCCCTTTTTTTTTTGTATTTCAAGATCAGTATTTTGTGACTCATAGACATATTTACAGAGAAATTATTGTGAATGCTGTCATCAGGTAATATAGTGTTTCCAAAATATTTTGTGCTTTAGTCCATGTAACAACATAAATTTTTTATGTCTTTCCATACGGGGACAATCAGTGTGCCTGACTTTGTAACCACAAAATAAACATGAGAGTTTCTATACTACAACTTTTAATATGCTTTGTTTATTTTTGTGTAGCTTTCAGTAAACATTACAAGTCTTTTGTATACAGAAAAAATCAGATTTTCTAATTAAGTATTTATACCAACAATTTGTCGGTGAATATATGGAGTCATAGAGTTTACTGCTCCAAGTGAAAAGTAATTTACATGTTAAGATTAAAAATACTTTTCTTCATCTGAGAATTTTCATATTTCATTTCTGCAACCTCAAAAATCTCCTAACTAAATTTCAAAATTTATTTTTCAGTAAAACTTTATATTTTATCTGTTATTTTTTCTACCCTAACTTCATATGGACTCGGTCAATTTGCCCAACCATATAATCACCATAAAAAACAACAACAAAATAAATCTAAACTATTCTTTTTTTCTTTCTAAAATGAATGCAGATCATTACAAAAAGCTACAATTGTTTATCCTAAATAGCTTAAGGCTCATAACAGTCTACATCTGTTTCTGCTTAATATATTGTTTTATTGCCCTTTGAACCATGTCTAAGTAATAATTCCACCATATAAGTTGTAAATTACTCAGCAAATGCATAGTTCACATTACTATAATTGAATGACATAATGCATGAACTGCTTGTGAAGAATTTTTACTATTACTATTTTTTTGCATTACCTACCCTAAGAAGTTTCACATTTTTACATTTTAGTTACTTTTATAACCATATATAAAGAATATACAAGGAAAAACAAAAAAATATAGTACTTATCTTTGACCTCTTTTTTTTTCTGTTGGTTGGTTGCCAATAAAATTTAAGCTTACTTTTTTTAATATAATGATGGTACTAATATACTAAATTTTATTTACTTAAATAATGCACCTACAAACACAAAATAATAACAACTACAAAGCAAAAAATGTCCTATAACTATTATAACTTAATTGACTTTCTAACTAGGACAAGAGTGGCTTAAATTAATTCTCTTTGCTGCTTGATCTGAACACCAAGGGATAAACTTTCAATCTGAAGACAAAATTGACAATCCTATGTCTTGAAAGCAACCTAGCATTGCACGTCATTCAGTAGAATTTCTGTTGGTTGTAAATGATATAGTATAAATGTGAGAAAGAATTATTGGCAATTTCTGAAAGAAAGTATGGGCATGGCAAGTGGGTCTGATTTTCTAGTTTATTGCTCTTATAGATAAACAAGATTGAAGGCTATAAAAAAATCATGCTCTGCCTTAGTAATATCTACATTATAATGAGTAATTTATTAACTTTCAAAATTTGTAGTGCATACTGGAGGGATTTACACATTTTGATAAAAAAATTAGAAAAAAACGACCTTTACACTAATCAAAAAAAAAAATCCAAAAATGAACAAAGATATATACATAGATAACTAAACCACCATGATTCCATTTGAAAAACAACACATCATACCAATACACTTCACACTATTACTTTCAGTTTAACATTTATGTACTCTGGAGTATCACACAGTCTTGCAATTTGTTTTTAACACTACTTATTAACTTTTTATCCTTTCTACATATTATTGTTTCTAAGCAACTTCTATTTTCTGTCTGTGTTTTTTTTTTCAGCTAATCATAAAACATATTGTAATTCTCATATAAAAGTAATATATGTCATAAGATAGTATAGCTGTATAGTTAGTATTATAACTATACTATAATATTAGAACAATAATGAAACAATTATGACAATTTATACATTGTTAGACACACATTACAGCAGACTCGAGAAACAGAACATTACAAGCAGTTTTATAATATTCTAATATCAAACAGTTGTGTATATTAACCCTGGTGAAGCTGCAAAATGCGTAATTTATTAAATTTAGTACTTCAGAAAAGGGTGGTAAGTAAATTAGAGAAGGAGTAAGACCCAACTTACAAATGTCACGATTCTCATACTAAGGGAGATTGAAGTTTTTAAAAATATTTCTTTATAAATTAATACAATATAATGTATATAATATAAAAACTTGATTTATTAACTATGTTTTGATGTCAAATATATTTGTATACATTGATAATAAAGTAGTTTAATGACATTTTTAATGTAACTCTTAAAAGGTCGTGACATGCACACTTTGACCTACCTGTAGCAAGAGGGTTAAAGACCATTTTCTCAGTATATTTTAGTTTAATTGAAGAATAAACTATTCTTATCACTAATTTAGAAATACAAAAACCATGTATCTTTAATTTCTTTATATTTAACAAATTTTGTCTGTAATATAAATTTCATACGCATCTTTAAGTTTAATATTAAACATTTTACCTGTAAAAACCCTTGAAGTTCTATCTCTGAGCTGGTTTGAAATTTTTTCTGTATTTGCATTTGAGTTTCTTCTTCAAGATAGGTTGGGTTAATCCAAGCTCTCAACACTCTTTCCTGGAAAGTTATAAATTATACAATGAAGATCTAATGCTTAACCTTAAGAAACCAGTCAGTTTATATAAAATAAAGCAAAAGTTATAATTTTCCAATACTGAAAATATATTTCCGATAGGCACTTAACTCACCTAAAAAAATAGCTAGTCTCGTTCAGCGCTGACCTCTATATGCAAATATTTTTTTTTTCACATGTTACAAGCCTTGAGCTCCTACATACCTTGCAATGGACTGATTCAAATGCATCTCGCATAGAAATCATCATGCGACACACTCTCCTGATGCATGTGGAAGCACCAATTTTCAGTGGTGAGGAAGGGCAGGAAGTGTGAAGGGAGGTAAGTGCACATTGGAAATATATTTTAAATATAGGAAAATCATAACTTCTGATACAGTACATTATACATTACCTTCTCTGACATAAATAACTAGAATCCCACATTGAATAAAATCAAGGGATAGCATAAGAGAAAGAACCATATTAATCTGCAAGTACCTCCACTGTAACCAACAACAAAGATTATAATTGAGTGAAGAAATAAAGACACCTGTAATACGTTGATTGGTTCAGCTATAAATCCAAAACCCTGCCACTGGGAACCCACATTTATGTGGGGGTAGGACGAGAGATCCCAATCGAAGGGGTGAACTGTAATTTTAATGGCTCACTCCAATTATACATAGTGGGGAACATCTCGTTATCTACACTGGCAGAATACCACTGCCCTACTCTCAAGTGAATGGTTTTATCATTATATGCATACCTAATCCTTATCACATTCAGGACTATGCCTCTATGGTCCACCACCCCAATGTCTTGGAACTGGAAAGTGGTACGAACTCCCATGCTCCACTGGAAGAAGAAAAAGGAGGAAGAAATTGTGGTGGACAGACAACACCTGAGACAGTGTAACAGGTGACCAGAAAACCCTATTTTGAAAAGCAGACCACACCCAATTTATTCAATCTAAGACATGGTAGGGATTGGCAGCTATCCCCTTCTGTTTAGCCCAAAAAATACATGGAAGAGTAGTATGGTCTGGGATGGGCATATTAACTCTTTCAGCATGGGCTCAGTCTCTGGGATCAACCTTGTAACCATTTTGTGCTTATTATAGTTTCATGCTATAACTTTTAAATTAATAAGCATATGTTCATGAAATTTAGCAGATTATCAATAAACATTACAAGGCTTTCATATGCAAAATATCAGATTTTTTTATTAAGTCTTAAGGTTTGTTAAGTAATGTTTTTCTCGTGCCTTTTTTCACATGTTGCCTAACCAACATGCAAAGTAGTATTACTTTAAGATTAAAAATACTTTTATGCATCAAAAATTTTTCAAATTTCATCTGCGAAATCTTTATAGCATCCAGATAGTTATCAAACGTTTCTTAAGAAAAAACTTTATATTTTATCTGTTATTTTCACTAACAATTCTCTGTACGAGTTCAGTCAATTTGACCAATCTCGTAACCACCATAAAAATTAGGAAATGAACATAAATTATACCTTTTTGTTCTAGAATGACTACAAATTATAACATGAAAACACAAATGGTTAGACTAAATAGCTCATAACATTATACATTTATATATATTTATTATATTGACCTTTCAGCCATGCCTGGCTAACAATACAGAAGTTACAATGACGCAGTGCACGTGCACTATTGTTACTGTATCCAATAATATAAAACTGACCTTGATACTTTACAAAGTGACCTGTCCTGGCTGTGTTTTAGTGGACTAGTATTATATAAAATACAGTCAGTATAAAATACAAACAATTATTTCTTCTAGTTACAACCTTTGTACTCCTTTGTTGCTTGTCGTAGGTTGCTAAGCCCTATAAAATTTCGCACGTGGAGGATGTGAAATGGAAAAGATATTGGTTAGGTACAAGGAATGACCTCTCTAATTGATTAACCAAGCCCCCACGAGCTACCTCTAGGAGGAGCCAATGAGTGGACTCCTGTTTGGAATGAGCTAACAGAAGCCAGTTGTCACGTAATGATGAAAGAGAAATCCTAGAGTATGTAAGTGTTGGACGAAAGCCTTGACCACCCGACAACAGAAATATGGGGACAAAGCAAGCATGAAGAGCAGAGTGCAAAATTGATAAGCTACCCCGTGATGAACGAACCGAAGATAGCATTCCTACTAACAAGATATCGTGATATGCAGGTAAGCATTCACGACATCTACCTTGGTCATCCACAAACCCAGAGAAAAAGACCACTTGAGAATGAGAAAAGACTATTGTAAATCGGGGTAGAACTAAAAATTGATTGAGGTGGGACAAATGAATCATAGGCCGCCAGTCACTGCTTTTCTTGGGAACTACAAACAGCCTGGAATAAAAACCTGGAGAAGGATAATTGACAGGTTTGATGGCCTGCTGGGATAAAAGATCTTGTACCACCTTGGACAGACACTGACTTTTGGTAGGATCCTGAGGCAATGGAAAAGAAATGGGTATCTGAGATAACGAATGAGGGGAATGAAATTGTATGCCAAGTCCCTCAGATAAAACCTGAATAACCCACAGATCTGTAGCAAATCGTCGACAAACAGGAAAAAATTGGACAAGTGAGCCCCCACTGGACCGAAAATCACTGGATAGTCACCAGTACCATTGGCAACATATCCATCTGCATCAAATAAAATGATGAAATGAAGAATCTCTGAAGGGAGGAACAGGTAAAGGCTGAGAAGAAGCTGAACAGGAAACACTAACAGGGGCATGTCTAGGCTCAGAATGCGACAAACGATCCACCACATGGGATTCCAAAATCTCAGGAATATTACCAAGTACATACTGCTAAAGAAAAGGGGCCAAATGTAAGTCCCAGAGATAGAGAGGCAGTAAATGAACCGGTACAAGGCTGCATCTCTCCCCACGAGATCCCAATAACAGAGAATCCACGTGTGGAAGGCTAGAGCCAAAGAAGACAAGTGTGTCAACATGGAGGTAATCAGGGAGAGTTAATCTCTTGAAAAACCCTCAGGATCTCTGTGGATCGCCTCGGAAAGGAGGTGAATAGTAGATAAGTACCATAGGAGAGTTGACAGAGTATGATGAAGGCGGGAAGATTGGGTGTGGGAAAAACAAACAGGATTATTAGGGTCTGCCCCCAAACAGGCAAAATCGATTCTAGCTGTTAAGGGTTGAGAAGTGGATATTAAGCCTGATAGTAAGCCAAGGCAAACTGATCTGAAGCCCATGGAGGGTGAGGCATGTTTGCATCCTTAACCATCTGAGAAACAAAATGCTCAGCATGGACCCTAATATCTGGGGAAGGGGTAAAAACCAAATACTGAGAGAAGGAGGTATCGTGTAACAAAGGAGGATGGGAATGATAAGAAATTGAGGAAATGGATGGGATAGAACATACCTGAAAAATCATGCCTAAAAAAGCCATATTAGGTCTAGCTGATTCCCCAGTAGGGGCATAGGAAGACAAGGATATTACAACTTAGCTAACTATAACTATATTATATCCAGCAAACAACTGCTACCAAGGAACAAAATTCTGATCCTGTTAAAATTTGTGTAAAAACTAATTCTAGTACATACAGACAATCTAAGTAGTTTTAGAATAATATGATTTATATAAGCAGCTAATATTTCAGGGGTTTTTAATTAAAAAGTAGAGTTCTCCTGTAGTTTTAGCTTTAATGTACTAACCATCATATTACTGCCTTGTTTTTTTATATTAATCACTTCCAGTACAGTTACATATTATACCACATTAAATAATTTTATATGTCACAATATTTAGGTGTAAAGAACTGACCAAAAACAATGGTTGAAGTCATCAATTTCCTAAATACAATACATAGGATACCCCAGGAGTAATAAGTGGGATTAACTGCAGTACTGGTTGTATTTATTTTACATTTTTGAGTGCTACTCATATGTATTAGAAACCTCATAACCAATAAAGCAATTTGGTGCACAAACAGTTTTGAAAATGCTTTTAACTCTTTCGACACGGGCTCAGTTCCTGGGACCGACCTCGTTATAGTTTATATACTAATAACTTTTAATATTTTAAGTGTATCTTTACAAAATTTTGAAGAATTATAGTAAACATTAGAAACCTTTTGCACACAAAAATCAGATTTTTACTTAAATTTGTCCATGAAAATATTGATTCTTTTTTTTTTAACTAGTCCGAGTGCAAAGTGATTTTCATATTAAAATTAAAAATACTTTTCATCACCTAAAAAATCTCAAATTTCATTTGTGTAATCCCTAAAACCTACTAAATGCATTTTCACTAAATCCTTATAGTTTTTATGTTATTTTCTCTACCCAATCTCAAAACGGTATCGGTCAATTCAACCAACCTCGTAACCACCAAAAAAAAGTCGAAATAAACCTAAATTAACCTTCTTTTCTTTCTAGAATGACTTCAAATTGTAACCTGAAAATACAATCGTGTGACAAGTGGGTGTGGCAGGAGGGGTCTGATTTTCTATTGAATAGCTCTGTAACCAAACAAAATTGAAGTTTATAAAAATTATGGTCTGTTTCAGTGATAATGGTTTTATAGTGTATTTTACGTTTAATTTCGTACATTTTCGAGGGGTGATGGATAAAATAGGGATGATGACATGCTAAGACAAAATTTGTCACGTGTGTTGCACTAGTAGAATTTCAGGATTTTTTAATATATATCCTTGTAGAATTAAGAACTTAAAACTTGTATACTATTAAAATATGGATTATTAGCTAAGATTTTATGCTATTACAATTGGTATAACATAAAGAAAAAGTAGTTTAAAACTTTGAATGTAAGACACTAAAACATTGTGTAATGCGCAGTAAAGGGTACCCAGGCCGATAGCGTTAAATATCACTTTGTATTCACAGCAATTCTTAGCTTAATATTTACACTAATAGTTTATACAATATCAAAAATTTTCATTTGTTTTGTTTTCAATTCTACTTTTTTGAAACAATATTTAATTCTTTCCTTTATCCTCAAACCTACATATAAAATAGTTAAAAAATGAACACTTGTAGTAAATATTCTGTTACACCGGAAAAAAAAATCCTTCCTGTTAGTTTTAACAATTATATAACAGTGAAAGCACTTCCTTTACCTTACCTTACTTACTAAAAAAATGGGAGAAATAATTCAGTAATCACTACTACTTGATTTTTAGGCATTTGTTTCCCAGAGAAACATGTACAGCATGAATGTTTTTCCAAGAGAAACGTATTTCATGTATGCTTTATTTTCCTAGAAAAACATGTACTTCACACATACTTTATCTTTCCAAAGAAAAAACTTTTCTACTACATTATAATTCGTATGTTTAGTTTTACACCTTCTAAGCCCATTACAGAGGTGCTGTTGTGTTTCAAGTTAGCCCAGTTACACTTTGAAATCCTTCTCAAGACGAACCTTGCCTTGGCAGTTTTTTAAGGCATAGTTTGCATCACAGATAGTCTTAAAAAAATATTTACTTCAACAAAACCTGGTGTACATAATTCCCTCAGAGGCTCAATAACAGGAGTTGGTCGAACTATAGAAGGTCCATGAAACCAACCACTAATGGACAGCCGAGTTTTATCTTCTGATAATATTTCTGCCACCTACAAGAAAAAAATATTTAGCTTTGCAGAACTTGAACACAAATTGAAATATTAATAATGTTGTTGTCATTTTTGTCAGATAACATACAAACATATTTATTAACAAATCAATATAATTTAGTAACTTGTACCTATTTTATTAGTTCTGGTATTTTTAAGTTTTAATAGATATTATTTTAAAAAATACGTCAGTACAAAATAAGAAACTGAAGTTAGCATTTTCATTATGTAATTGTTCAACAAAGAAGTGACAAAAATTCTATTAATTTCCATATATGTTACAATTTATGTATCAGCTTTATCACTCAAAATACCCAAGAAAGCTGGAGATAAAATAACGTATTTCAAAATCGTAATTATCAATTTATCATGAAATATATCTTTCTAATTTAATTGTTTTAGGGATTTTGAAATTGGTTTAAAGATTCTATTCTATTAAAATTAAAATGCATGAAAGCAGTTAGAAAGTAATTATCTTAAGAATGACAACTACAAATTTCCTCAACCACTATTAGGTGGGATTGTTGAGAATTCAGTTTAAATATCTCTCCTTAATGTATAATTCTCAAAATTTCACACTATTTACCTGATGAAAAGACTGATGAGTTACTTCAAAAAACACAAACTTATTCCATGCTGGTAACAAAGATTTAACAATCTTGCATGGCTGCCCATTACCTAAATAAAGTTAATTATAGCATTACATGAACAATTTGACAAAATTATAAAAAAAAATACATTCAATTCACTTCATTAACTTTTATGGAGAAATGAAATATACGACAGCTTGAATTAGATTTAAAGAATAAAATAATGACTGAAATAAATAACTACTGAATGCAATGAAAGATAATTTACCATAATAACAACAAGGCTTTTAAGATATACCTTGCATAGTTATACTTTATTGTTTAACTTTTTACCACTTCCACTAATTGTAAAATACAATAACTACTCACTGTCTGAATTAAAGAGATCAAGAGTACCACCATCCGATTTTGTCCATGGTGGTACTAAATATAAAATGTAAGCTATTCGCCTTTCTTCCAACTCGTCATCATGACAAAGCAGAACATCTAGAGAAAGAAAATGTTTTATATATATACAGAAGTTTTCCACTTGGGGGTATTCTATTCCTAATTAATTGAAAAAATAGCAATTGAATAAAAGGTAAAAATATGTAGATTCTGTGACAAAATTTTTGTCTAATTAAATATCAAAAACTCAGTTGAACGTCTGGTCATGTAAACACAACTTCATTAACATTTACAATTATTTAAATATATTAAACAATAATTTTGATAAACTGGATTTTTAAGTTCTATAGTTTGTAAAGCTTTTTATTCCACTTTTTTCCTGAGAAAAAGCCTTTGAAAAATTTCATTCATTAGTTCTAAACAATGTTAAAACAAAGAGCAAATACAAAAATCAATAAATAAGGCTCAGACAATTAAAAAATAGATATCATATACCTATCAACACCTTTACATGTGCTGCCAAAGATGAATATTAGTTAACAAACATATATGAAATGTATACTGGAATAAGCATACAGCAATAAAAAGTTTATATTTATTATAAGTGCATTAAAACAAGTTATCAAACTTACCAGTATACTGGTATTTTGAACAAAATATGTTTATCGAGTTGTTGAGAGGAATATCTGTAACTTCTTTCACCCACTCCAAGGTGTTTTCAGAAAGTAGTTTTCTGTTGACATAAATCAATACATGTACAGCTTCTACCAGATTGTAAGTACATAGGTTTTACATCAGAACTAAAAATCAATTCATTTTCACTACTTTACATTTAATGGTTTAACACTTAATAAAGATTGGATTGTCTTAACTTTTTTTCTACAAGGAAATAATTACATTACTTAATAATAACTCTCAGCAACAGTTACTACATATGCATAAATATATTTAAATGCACTTAAGAAAATACACCACTATCTACAAAACACTGCAGTGTGTCTGCATATCATATCTTAAGAGGGTTGTATTATATAATATGCAAGGTTAAAATCAAACCTTCAGAAGCAATATTTTCGAAATTTTTCTGTGATGTCCTAAAATCTACATGTATATGCTTTATTGTAAAATAGCAGTGAACTTAATTAATAACAGAACTTTAATATATTTCTAGTTTGTTAAAATCCTTATTGTTGTTAGTGTAACATTTCTCACCTTACAGCTTTAAGTATGTTCACAATGAACTTAATATATACAAATATCATTTACATTTATTGTTGTGATGTGACATTTGATTTTACTGATATATATTTTTGTCATTAAGTATGGCTATAGTTGAAGCATTTAATGAAGCTAGTTGTGATGATGTACAATTTGTAGGATGGAAAAGAAATTGGAGGTTATTCTGAGTAGAGGCAATAGTTAAAGATAAGGGTAAATTGTGGGAAGTGGTGGCACAACTTTAAAAGGTACTTAGCTTTTGCAGCAAAGGATACAGCAGTTAATAAGAACTTTCAGGAAGTTGGTTTGATATGAATTTTATGCAAAGCTACACGAGGGCTATTTACACTAGCCGTCCCTAATTTAGCAGTGAAAGACTAGAGGGAAGGCAGTTAGTCATCACCACCCACCATCACATTAAAATTCCCCCATGGCTGAAAGGGCGAGCATGTTTGGTGGGATGGAGTTTCGACTTTCAGGAAGTTAAAAACAGTACTAATATAGTTGATATTAATGGATTTACTAATATTGAAAAGGTTCTATTAATAACAGATGTCAGGTTTATGTTTGTGTTGGTAAGGAACTAGGGTAGGAAAGGATAGCAAAAGTGACAGATAAGGATAGAAATATAAACATAAAGATGTTATATTTATAAGTGACTAACAGAGTACCCGGCATTGCTAGGATGAAAATAGCTTTAAATATCCTGAGTTGTTTTGATTAAATCAACCATATTAATGATGATTTTTTTGCAAAAATATCAAACTGATTTCTTTATCTAACTAAATATTTTGATTAAAATAAAAAAAAAATAACGTGTGAAAAAAATAAAAATTTGCTCAAGCTATTTGAATCAAAGCGAAACTGGGTACATTGCTCTTGCTTCTTGCTTATGCTTTACATGACATTTCAAGTTTCCACAACAAAAGTCCATACCTTTTGGTGTTCTGATTTCTGCTGTGTGGTTAAATGTCATTTGCAGCATATTCTGACTTTATTATCTTTTCATCTAATAAAGAATTGATTTATTCTTTTCTCATTGCACACAATTTAAATGAAAACTTGCCAATACCAAACATTTTTGTAAAGTCACCATGTAGCTGATTTTTGCAAGTACAAGCAAAGCAAAACATATGGCTGAAGCAAACCTATTTAGTTGAGGAAGTGTGAGCGCACGTTCGAGAGAAAGCACAAGCCTTTTTCAGTTAAGGGGAGTTATAGAGTAGGCATGTATGTGTAGAAGAAAGAGAGAGGAGGAAAAGAGCACAAATGAAGGCTCTATGAAGTTGTTAAATCATTTTAACACATAATTGATCATGGATAGAATGATTAGAAAATCCTCATACAGAGAAGAAATGTAAATAATAGCCATCTTGATCACACATCACCAAAAACACCCAGCCTTTTCAATTTGAAACCAATTAGTCATACTGTTTGCTAAAAATTGCTATATTGGTCACTTTGGCCTCATGCAGTTTGTAGCTTTAAAGATGTGGCTATGCATAAGGAACAGACCCAAAGAGAGAGTGATTTGTGCTTATATATATACGTTCTTTAGTATGGCATATGGATAGGATGTTCTGTGGGGCAAATATGGAAAAAAGAATGAGATTACGCTATCCAGGAGTGGAGTATATAACTGATGGTGCAAGTGATGTAGTAACTGGTGCTAGCAGTGATATGTTCTTTGTAGTGCACATAAGGCCTAATGATGTAGGGAAGAGAAAGTCAATGGAGCTAACTATTAAGTACAAGGCATCGATAAAGACATTCAAAGAAAGGGGCCATAATAACTTAATTCTGTCAGGGATGCTATGAAGAATTAATTGGAGGGATGGAATTATAAGTAGGTCATGAGGGCTAAATGCTAGGCTTAAGTTGATATGTAAGAACGAGCAGGATCGTTTATATTTAAATAGGGTAGAGGTAGCTTTAAACAAGCACTAGAAAGTATTGTGGGCCAAAATCTATATAAGTAATATGCTTCCATTTGTCTGGAACTTTTCTTGCAAATTTCTCGATCAAATGCTACAAATCTCATATCATTAGAAAGACCTTTGTCTGAGAAGTCCAGATTACATTTTGGCTTTTCAATTCAGAATCCTCTTACCTGTTTCTTGCTCAATCAAATTTTTCAATACAACAATTACAGTACACAATGGCATGTTATTGTTCTCACACGACAACTGGTTTCAATTTCAACTTCAAGTTATATTTTTACAAATTATTTCACATAAACAACACTTAACCCACATGTAATTTCCTATAAAAAATTAACATTACACAACCATATGCTTATTACTTTGTGGACACATCTTCAGACATTTCTGCATATTCAGCCAAGTTTGCCTTCACTAAAATGTTACATTTACTTTACTTAACAATAATTTAGCTTTGGATTGTTTCACAGACTGCTATAAACACCTTCTAGCTACTTTTTCTTTACTATGCATTTTAATCTTCATTTTTGTGAGTTTATTTTTGTTTTAACTCATAAGACCGTGTGATACTCTGAATGCTCATAACTGTTTTATACTCTGTACATTACTATAAATACCATTACTTTACTTTATTGTTTATTTTACATGTAGTTTTATTAAATAAAGTTATGTCTACATGATTTTGTTTGTCTGACCTCGTAAAATGTTTTCAAATAGACCAAGATTTATCAATCTAACACATAATGCATTGCAAGAAAGCATAGTTTAAATGGCACATGTGAAAATGATAGAATAAGGAGCATTCAAGTGAAGGGCATGAAAACTACCACAAATGTTTTGCAGGTCATGACTAGTAATGATGAAAAAATAGAATGTAGAGAAAAGTATAGTATAAGAACAAAGTAATAAAATAGTTTTGATGGTATACTGTTATTATTGTCATGCTAAAAGTATAAGAAATAAAGTGGACAACTTTAGGTCACTGGTCAGAACAAGAGGATTTTGATGTAATGAGAATAACAAAAGTCTGGTTAAATGTAGACAATTGTGATGACAGAAATTTCTTTGAAATACAGGGTTAGAAGTTGTTTAATAGGGATAGAGTACTAAAAAGATGGGGATTTTTGCTATATATGTAAAATGTGAGTTACATCCTGTTCAATTTTTTGTTAGAAGTTATAAGGGAAGACCACCAGAAGAATATGATATAATTAATGAAAAAACTCTACAGTAGGGTAAATAACTAAGCTGTTTGAGTCAATCATGAAGGAGACAGGCTTTTAGAAACTGTTCAGAATGGTTTTATTCACCAACTGTAAGGGAATCTACAAGGAATAATACTATTTTAGAATTATTGTTAACTTTTAATACACATTTGGTTGGGAAAGTGGAGATTGGGGAACGCTTGGGTGTAAGTGGTTGGTCATTACTCAATTAGATTTGATGTTTTGCTGCACATTTGGTTCCAAATTTTAAAAAAATATTAAAGGGATGAAAGAAGAATTATCTGCTGTGAATTGGACAACTGAATTAACTGGAGATACTGATCAAATTTGGATAATTTTTAAAAATAAATTCTTATATATTCAAGATAGGCATAATCCTTACAGAAGAAATAGGATGGTTGCAAGTTAAAAACAAAGTTAGCTTACAAATGGTATAAAGGATAAAATTACAGGAAAGCATTATAAAAAAATTTAAGTTGACTACAATGATGGGAGATTTGGAGGATTATAGAAAAATCAAGAAAATTGGTAAATAGAAAATTTGAAATAAAAAAATCAGTATAAAAAAAGGTTGGCTGAAAATATAAAAATTAATAGTAAGGATTTTTTTAAGTATATCATGGGAAAACAAATGTTAGGATGGAGTATGAACAATACATGAAATCTAATATCTGATGATTACAGGATGGCCGAGTTATTAAATTTTACTTTTTTTCTTAAATTTTTACTAATGAAGATTTAAGTAGCATTCCTCATCCTGAACAGTTGCTAGATGAAAACAAGATTGAACAATATTATCACATTAATTGAGCTTGTAAAAAAAAACTGAATTTTAGATAATGATAAAGCTTCTCAACCAGAAAATATTGACCCACAGGTTTTGAAGGAGGATCAGGACTGGATATGTAAGCAACTGGTTACTATTTTTTCAAAGTTCTTGAATAGCGAGTAGGTGCCAAAAGATTGGCAATTGGCTAATGTTACACCTCTTTTCAAGGGAAGTGTTAAAAATTGTTCCAGTCTTACATCAGTGGTAGAAAATTTTTTGAAAGTCTGATAAAAGATGTTTTGCAAAGTAATTTAATAGTTTAAAATTTTGTTGGATAGTCAGCAAGGTTTTACTCTTGAAAAATCTTGACTTCCTAATCTTTTGACAATCTTTGAAGAGGTTACTGTTTATGTAGATGAGGGTATGTGTGTGCATTTGGATTTTCAGAAAGCATTTAACAAGGTGTGACATAAAATACTTGTTATAAAAGATATCTCTGTAAGTGTGGAGGTTATGTTGGCTCATTTGATAGAAAAATAGCTGTATGAAAGAAAGGGTTGTTATAAATGCAGTTCAGTCA